GTTGATATTCACTCCGTAATTTCAACTCAATACCATTCACTTGAAAACACTATTGTGTTATCCACTTACCTATTAAGTCCAGATAGTCACTAACTTGTGTAATAGGCTAAACATTAATGATGAATTTATCACATTGTTTTCAAGCCGTTCTACAATTAAGTTGTCTAGTGATACATTTATTTGATCCGATCATTTGTATGTGTACAAATATTCAAGATCATCATCTCCTAGTGTTGAACAATCAATAACTGATACAAATATATGCAATAATCTTTATAAATTTACATAACTCATAGTTTAAATAAACGTCTATAAATTACTTCACTTACATACGCCTATTACTCTTAATGGAGAATAGGCCATCGACAAGCATTCTCCAACCCACTCACTCTCTCCTGAACCTTCCTTTCTAGTTCTATCCAATTGTTGTTCATTCTTCTCATATCTGTCTCCACATCTCGGCGTAATGTGTTCTTCTTTGATCTTCCTTGTCTCCTTTGGCCTTGAAGAATCCAAGTGATGAGAGCTTGTCTTATGACACAGTTCGATGTTTTCCTAAAATTATGTGTCTTATCCACATTCAACGCTTCTTCCTGGTTTTTTCCCTCCTCTGGAATCTAGGTTGTTCTCTCCCACATTATATAATTTGAATTCCTCTCCAATACCTACATGAAATACATTGAATAATAATAATAATTATGTTTTTTATTTAACTACGAACAATTTAAATGGCTCCCGCCCCCCTTCCCTATCCCCACCGGGTGGGTGAACAATTTACATTGGTGCCATGGAGACTATAATAAATGATATAAATCTTTTAATCAATTAATTTAATGTTTAAAATATGTTAATTTTATAACCAGATTATACAAAGTATACAGTATGTTAAAAGTCTTCATTCATCTAGTCGACCATCAGAAGAATTGAATATTAAGATATAAATCTATCGGTGTAACAAAGTTTTCCGATAACTTTATTATGACAAGGAATAAGTTTAGTGCATGCTACTTATATGGATAGATATAAGTAGTATAATGACAGAATCCAAGGGATAATGAAGTATATATAAAGGATAATGGATACTAAGACGATGGGTAAATGATGTATTTAATGTACATTTTTTTATATTTTGTTAAGTGACTATAGGATTTTGCTAGGTAATACGGGATAAAATTCGTTATGGAGCGTCAGCTCCTTTAAGATTACAGGTACACCTTACTGACAAGTGCCAAGTAGCACGAAACCTATGTAAAGGGTTTCCTGTTGACTAACTCCAATCATAGTCTTATCTCAACATAGTGCAAGCAACGTCGAGTCACCTAGACCAATGGTTACATTACAACTTGTTTGATAGTATTCGATTTGTACTAAGAATGACCTGACACATAAGACATTGATCACCACCCAGTGATCAATCAATTGTGTATATGATTTTGCGCTAATCGCCATTAATAAGTAATAACAATCTTAGTGCCCAAGAATTTCGATCTCGTAAGTGACCGATTAACCTCTGAACCATTAAACAGGCATCCAACAGTGTTAGTGCCTAAATTCAATCGGTCCATGATCTTGTACAACCTTTCATGCGTTGACTAGCCCAAAGATGAATTTCTTGGAGTTCTCATGAGAAGCCGTGATCAGTGGTGTTCACTTTGTGTTGGGTGTGAGACAGGTATTCACATCAGATGAAGGATGAAAGGTTGCGCAAGATCGATGATCGATGGGAGTTAGATATTAACACCTCTGGATACTAGTGGTCTAGAGTTGAAGCGTTTGTACAAGACCGAATGTTCTGGGTTTGAGTCCCGTTGTTGGGGGGTTGGAAGTGCTAAAGAATTTCATGCTAGGACAAAGCTGTCATCCAGTACCTTCAGGTATTTGATGTAGGTTAGTTTTAATTGACTCATAAATTCCATTATTTCTACGATCTGAACGAATTGTGTTGTACTTCTGCTAGATGATCAATTATTTTATAATTCTCTTGATAAGATATTCCTCTTCATTTATTTTCATATAGTACTGAAACACATCGTTATGATTAGCAGAACATTGGACATTGTTCTTAACCATATTGAGTTTATTCAGGCTTGTTTTCAATGGAAGAGATGTATATTATCCTCAGTTAACTAGCGTTTGTCAAATCATTAAGTATGAATGGAATATTTTTCACAATAGGGTATGGTATTCTGAAGGACCGCTTAGGAACAATGATTTTTATTTATTTATTTATTTGAACACAAATATTGATACAAAGGGGCACCGAATATATATGCACCATACAAGTCACTTGACTTATGTGTGGCTGGGATACTGTCTCGGCGTCCAGACTGAAACAAATGGTATCCTTAGGGGGTCACACCCGGAGCCTTCAACCTAATCTAATCTACAAGACAGCGGAGCGATGTAAGGAGATGCAGTTTTTTGGTGACCAATAATTTGTTCATGCTTCATTTGTTCCTTCAGGATCCTGGAGCCCATGTGCACCATTGGTTTGGAAATAGGGCTTTCCAACTTCCTTAGGTGGATCTTAGGCGTCCATCAACCTAGTTAAAGTGCCGTACATTCGCTTTTCGTCCTTTCAATTTCGTAAACAACAATGATGCCGCAAGAAGGCAGTAAGTTGGACTTCCCTGACAGTTGTTGTATACGCGGGGCCACGTAAGAGCATTTGAAGATGAGCTAAATCTCCCCACCCTCGACCGTACCAGGGCATTTGGGGACTAGGAGTTGTTTGAATAAAAGCTTCCAACTAATAGGAATACAAATATGAAGCTGATGAGATTTTAGAAAACATGATTATATTTCAGTACTGATTGTTTTTTTTTCGGTGTCCTCATTCACTACTGTCATCATGATTAGTCAACGTTTCACATCAGAACTTTATCGAATTAAACTCAAATTAACTTTTCAATGGTTTTTTTGAAGGAATCGTTTATTATTTCACTTGATTTATAATGATAAATTAACATCAAAAGTAACATCAAACTATTCATTCGTAAGCTACTAGTATTTGACCACAGATGCCTTAGAACTATTGCTCGCATCTGCTGGGATCATCAGGTAAGTAATAGTGAGGTTAGACGTAGGGTGTTAGAGAATGATGGTGAATCAGTTGATGAAGTTGTAAATCTTCATCGACTGAGATGATTGGGCCACGTGTTACATATGCCTGAACGCCGATTACCATGACGCGCAATGCTAACTTGTGTAGGGGTTGGTTGGAAAAAAGTTAGGGTGGCCAAACCAAAACGTGGCATTAGTCATTGAAGTCACTAACGTCTAGTCTGAGCCATGTTGGTAGATGCAGACTACTTGGTTGGGGTCCGCGTGACTGAAGTAACCAATAGTCGGAGAATCCAAGTGACATGGCTCAGGATCGATCATAATGGCGTCGGTGTATGCACTCTCTGTCTTTCCTTAAACTAAGAGATTAAAATCGCTTCATATCTTTCTTTCTACCAACTAGTTCTTTCTTCCTGCACTATGTCCTTATACTCAATCTTCTTTGTTTGATATTTTACTATCATTGAATTAACTACTTCTATGAATCCGGTGTCCACTTTTTTGTGCAAATGAGGTATGGTCACTTGGACAGATGCATATATGTGTCTGGTCCTACATTGTAGCTGACTGACTGACTTACTGTTAAAATTGATAGTTGATGTTCAACTACTCCATAGATATTATAGTTCATAAGCTGAGGTTAGATTCCCCAGCATTAATCTATGAGGGTTAGCAGTCTTTAATAGAATTCTGAATACAGGAAGTTAAATTGTCCTCTTTTCTGTTTCTCTTCATGATTCCAAGTTAGAAACTAACTTGTGATGCAGTACGATGATTTCCGTAATGTATGTCCTATCCACTTCCAACGTATTTTCCGAATTTCCTCTTCATCTGGAATCTGATTCATTCTATCTCACAGTTGTCTGTTGCTGATACTATCCAGTCAATGGATATTGAGTATCTTGTGTAGACAATCCTTCATAAATACTTCTACATTTTTGATGATGTTTGTGGTAGTTCTTCAAGTTTCAGTTCGGTACAATAGAACAGTGTTGGCGTTCGTATTGAAGACTGTTAATTTGCTATTAGTTGACAGTTGTTTCGAGTACCATATGTTCTTCAACTGTAGGAATACTGTGCTTGCTTTGCCAATTCTCGTCTTCACGTCTGCATCGAGTCCACTTTGTTCATTAATGACACTTCCAGGTACGGAAGGATTCCACATATTCCAGAGATTCTCCATCAAGTGTGATTTGGTTGACGTTCTTTGTATTGTATTTGATGATTTTGGTTTTGCCCTTGTGTTTGTTGAGGCCGACTGCTATAGAGGCTGCTGTTACACCAGTTGCCTTCATCTTCATTTGTTCATGTGTATGTGATAGAATGGCTAGGTCTTCTATCAAGTACAAACCATCTAGTTGCATGCATGCTGTCCTTTGTATTTCGTGCTCCCACTCAGATGTCGAGGTCTTCATAATCCAGTTGACTACTAGAAGAGAAATGAATTGGCAGAGTAGACAGCCGTGTCTAATTGATTTTGAGCTGTTCATTGTATTCCATACTCCCCTCAGATCATTAATTAGTAGTAGGACGAATGGATTAGCTCTTATATCAAATAAATCACTGACTAACTCATGAAACATTAATTTCCTGATATTATGTATATGCTACTTATATCTGTCGACAGACGTAAGTAGTATGTAGCACTGGTCACAAGTGGGTAGCCTATCAAAAGAAAGTTGAGAAGATTGGACTGAATAGAATAGAAAGGGAAATAAAGAGAAATTAAGAATTGGAAGAATCATGGAAGATGTGCAAATGAAGTTTTTATAATTTATTGAAGACACTCTGTAATTCTGGTTATCCCCATCTGAAGGTTCGTTCATTAAAATAGAACCTCATAAAGCACTGATGAACAGTATTTCAAAGTCAATATATACAATTTGCCGATTCATCCTATTAAAATGTCTTTTCTATTTGTATCTTATTCTCCATAGGTTGTTGGATTGTAACAGGTGGTTTTCATTTAGGAGTAATGAAGTTAACTGGTGAAGCTGTACGTGATTACACAGATGCATATGGTGGAAATCGAATGATGGCATTTGGTGTAGCAAGTTGGGATTGTGTAACAAAAAATGAAATACTTGAAGCAGCTTTACATGAGGTAAATTAATTCAATGAATGTTCTTTCAGTTCTCATTGTATTTTCATGACTATTTATCATTGTATACATTTCTTTTGGATAATGATAGACGTTAGCTATCTAACGACAGGACATTTAGAATAGACGTCAGTATGAGCATTATTATTGTTCATATATCACAGTAATGCGCGAGAGTCAACATTAAGATGAGTGTATTATGTTAGTGACTATCAATATCAATTGTGTTAAGTGGTAAGAACATACTAACAGAAATCTATCTCAGGACTCTTATCAGTCGTTATTGTTCTTAAATGACATGACTGTGTATTCTTTACACAGGGTTTACGTGTATTCATCAGATGGTTTGACTAACTTCGCTATAAATCTTAATAATATTTTATCTATCTCATTCTACAATCTCTTTGAACGATATTCACTGTTTTGTTATTGTTATTGAAGGTAATATGATTCTTGTTTTCAGAGTCTCTTCTTTATTTGTTGAAACAAATCATGAGAATATAAATCAAAGTATATTTGTATAATAGATCCTTCGTTTTTCATATTTGTCTAACCCTCAAATGCCCTAGTATAGCCGAGAGTGTTGAGAGTCAGCTCTCCTTCCCGAGATGCTCTCACATGGCCATGTGTATCAGACCACTGTTAGGGAAGTTCTACTCACTGCCTTCTCGCGACATTATTGTTGTCTACGAAAATTGAGAGGATAAAAAGCGGATGTCCAGCACTTTAACCGGGTTGGTGGATGTGGAGGATCCACCAAAGGAAGATGGAAAACCCTAATTCCAAATCAATGGTGCATATGGGCTTCAGTATCCCGAGATAACACATGGCTACCATGGGACTGCATCTTCTTATATTGCTTTACTGTCTTGTGGATTAGACTGTGGACTGCGGATTAGGTTGAAGGCTCCGGGTGTAGCGCCCTCAGGATACCATCTCTTTCGGTCTGGGCACCAAAACAGTATCGCAGCCCTCACATACATCAAATGAGATTTGTGTGGCGCATATCTATTTAGTGTCTCCTTTTACCTAAGTTCATGTGTTTAAATAAATTACTGACATTACTGACTATATCTATGGTACAATATAGAATTCTCAGTATAAATTATTTCAATAACTTTCCTTTCCCTATTTCTTCATTGATGCTGATGAAAAATATTGAAATAGCGTAGTGATACTGAACAATTGTCTTGTAAATCATTTACTCAGGATTCATGAATTGTGATTACACTACACACTTATACATTGAAGGAATTGGAGATAGTCCATCTTGTAGTGTCGTTTACTATGTTAAGCCCAAGTAGCATCTTCTGGCCTCCGTACAAGCCAAGTTATTCATTCTTCTTAAATCACATTTTGACATTGTTAATCATTCGCCTATCAACCATGACTGTTTTTATATGAGTGTATGTGTATAAATTGATTTTCCTACTCATCACATGTCTGTAACTTAATGTTGTCCGGCTATAAATATCGACTAACACTTGATTAAATAGAGTTTGGTTACAAGTCTTCTGCATTGTGCGCCATTACGCTTCGCTCTTTCTATTCGGTTCCTTCGTTTCATCCCTCTGATTATCTGTTCAGATCAATGAGTGTACAAAATATACGTATTCAAAACTTCATTCTTGTATTTTACTGATTTCCATTCCGCTACTCACTAACGCGGATTAAGTCGATAATTATATACAAAGATTGCCTACATATCTGAGCAGCATCATTGATGAACACAGTGGATCTGATGCAGATTTGAAGGCAAGGATCAGCAATGCGAGAGCAGCATATTCACAACTGAAGAACATCTGGAACTCAAAACAGCTGTCTGTCAACCAACACCAAGGTCAGGGTTTTCAATACAAATATCAAGACAGTTCTACTGTTTGGAGCAGAAACCTGGAGAACTACGAAAGCCATCATCCAGAAGATACAAGTGTTTATTACCAGTTGTCTACGCGAAATACTTCGGATCCGTTGACCAGACACTGACTGCAACAACTTACAGTGGGAGAGAATAAACCAGAACAAACTAGTGGGGACGAAATCAGGAAGAAGCACTGGAAGTGGATAAGACACATTGGGGAAAGCACTCAGCTGTGTCACAAGGCAAGCCCTCACTTGGAATCCTCAAGGCCAAAGGAGGAGAGGGAGAACAAAGAAGATTACATTACGTCGAGAAATGGAGACAGATATGAGAAAAATGAACAACTATTGGATAGATCTATGAGGGAAGGCTAAGGACAGAGTGAGTTGGTTGGAGAATGTTGATCGACGTCTTATTCTCCATTGAGGGTAACAGGCATAACTAAGTTAGTAACACCCAACATGCATATTTCCGTAACAACCATTGCCAGTTACATGTTACTAGTTCACTAATCCACATGTGAATAATGCTCTTTGTTTACAACGTATATTGAACGCCGGCCACCACAATGTCTATGATGATGACTGTAGTTTATTGTAAGTTGTTCAGTAAAAAGTCACGAACATTTGATAAACACATTTAAATAGGATAAACGATTAATAAACATAATGATGTGTTGAAACAAACAAACAAACAAAAAGAGATAACTTGTCAAAATATCTAAATCAGAAGGGGTTTTGTGGAGATTTTAGAAATTTTACTAGTTGAAATCGTGAGTCATTTGAAGCTGAATCATCATGGAATACCTGGAAGCAGTGGATGGCCGTTTCGCTCTAGTATGGGACTCCTCAGCAGTGCGAATCCACGATCCAGCCCCCTCTCGAGAGATTCGCACGCACTAATAGGTCCTGGGTTCGAATCTGGCTGGGGAGGGCGTGATCGTGGATACCCACTATTGATGAGTCCCATACTAGGACAAAACAGCCGTCCATTGTTTCCAGGTTTCCCATGATGGTCTAGATTCAATTGACTCATGTTTTCAACTAATCAATAACTGTAAACTATCTATAGTAAATATAGACTGTATTGAAAGAAGTTGAACTGTACATTGTTGATATATCATGAATACATTGTACATACATACATACATAAATACATACATAAAGATAAGTTCATTAAACAATTACAGGAAAGACAAATCAAGCTTAAATTAAGTTAACTCTACAGGAAGTACTATCAATTTATAACCTACAAAACACTGCAAAATATTTTATTGAATATGTCAATCATTATACACCATAGATATTCATTCATTAATGTAATTTACTAGAACTACCTATATTGGAACTACATATTTTCCAGTTTATTCATTTCTAAATGTATTATTATTATAGTATATAGAGATGCATATGTATGAAATTGTTAGAATTACACAAATTCACTCTTGTTATCTTACGTGAAGATGCATAGACTGTCTATCAGGATTCTCCATCGAATTATGTCTTGAACAATTCTTTCCAGTTATCTTCAATAGTAGATGCTTCTTCTTTATGTAGATCTTGTAAAATTTGGAATCTGTTGTTGAGAGTTATGTTGAATTCGTTGAAGTTGTCAGTATATCGAAGGAATACTGTATTAAATCAATTGTCTAGTACTTCTTTAGCTTCAATTTCATCATAACCATAACCAAGTGGTGATCTGAATCTATATCAACTCCTTTCTTGGTTCTCATATCTTTCACTGACCTTCTGATTTTTTTAATGATACAAATATGATCTATCTGGTTTTCTGTAGTGTGGTTTGGTGAGACTTATGTAACTTTATGTATGCGTTTGTGAGGGGGGAATTATAACCGTTTTTTAAATGCACATAAATTTACAAATTTGTCATCATTCTTGTTCGTTTCTCCCAGTCAAACTATATCATTCCACATACCGATCTTGGTTAGTTAACAACTGAAAACCTGTAATTAATTAACTCATTAAACATGCTCATTCATCACCCCACAACCGGAAATATAATACAGGATCTTCAGTCTCACACATGAACATCATGACTGGTAGAGGTATGAGGAAGATAGTAAACAAAGACAATGGAAGATGGCCATGCAATATCGTGAATTTTTCAAAGTTATACTTGTATATCATTAGAAACGAGCTTAACAAGCCAAACAATACCAAGTGAATTTAAATTCACCCCATTGTACAAGCAAGTGGCTATCTGGACTCAGTAGTTGAGTGGATAACGCAATGGCGTTTCAAGCGAACTGTATTGGGTTCTAGTCTCAGAGTGAACATCACAAGTCTGAGGTGCAGGTACATCCAGTTGACGCGCGTCCTGGATTCCACTGCTTGCCACTATCCATTATTGCTTACACTACCTTAGTAGTTTACAGGTTAAATGTTCATGTACGAGACTGAAGGTCTTGAATTAATTATAACGTTTTGTGTTTCTACAATTTATTCTATTAATCTCAACTATTTTTTTCTGATTATTATTTATATTTTAGGGTACAGCAGTGTATCAATCTGAGGAAGATGAAGAAGAAGAAGCTGAAGATAGTGAACCAATTTTAATTGATCCATTATCACAAAGCGGTTTAAAATCTGTTCGTAGTGATATTGAAGAACGTGCCTTAGATCCTAATCATAATTTTTTTGTTTTAGTCGATGATGGAACAACTGATCAATTAAAAGGTAAAGAAGCTGAATTACGTGCAAGATTTGAAAGATGTATATCATTATGGAATTGTGCAAGTAGTCCACAAGAACAAACAACAACTGCTACAAGTCCTCAAAGTGGACCTATAAGTTCTACAACACATTTACAACAACAGCAACAACAACAACAGCAACAACCTCAAAATGGTATTTCTACACCATCTAATGCCAATAATAATGTAAATTCAGTAGGATTACAAAGACAAGGTAGTACTATGGGTGGACAAATTAGTACAACATCTGGTCCACAAACAAGTGTAACATCAATTGGTAAAAATTCTGGTATAACCGGTGGTTCTACTAGTAATTCTGCTTTAAGTAAAGGTGCAAGTGAACCAATAGTTAATAATCAACCTATTTCAACTGCATCTGTTACACGTGGTGTAAAAGATAAACTTACTACTGAATCAAGCCTTAAACCAGCAAAAAGTGGAAAATCAGTTGGTAGTGAAGAAGAAATTTTAGTTCCAATGTGTGGATTAGTTGTAGGTGGTGATCGATTTACATTACGTCAAGTTTATTGTTCAATGATTAGAAATCGTTGTCCAATTGTTGTTACAAAGGTAGTTGAAGTTTTAGGGAAAAAAATTTATAAATGGATCATATTTTTTTACATTTGATACAATGAAATTTAATAATATCATGATCCAGACTATGTTAGTTAGGTAATCACTGAGAACATCGAAGCACTGAAAGGACTTAGTAATACTGCTATTGGTATTACTACTGTGGTGTGTGTACTACTGATGTCGACAGATAAAAGTAGTATATATCATCAATCGAAAGTGGAATGACTGAAAGCAGAAGGCTGAGAAGATTAAAGAGAAAAGAATGAGAACAGAGAGTGAAGGAACAATGAAGTCTGAGATAATTGATTGATATTTTACAAATGAAGTATTTATTGGATGGTTCTCAGATTTTGTTTAGAGATTTTGTATTTACATACATATGGTTGTAACCGCCTGTGTTCTCACTCATTACACTACTATGGCTAATACTGTTTATTTACTGACTTACGCCTGTTACTCCTTATGAAAGAGCGTAGGCCGCCTACCAGCACTCTCCATCCAACTCCGTCCTAACCAATCTTTCCCAAACCTTTCCAGTTTTTATTAATCCTTTTTATATCTGCTTCTATTTCCTGATGTAATCTGTTCTTTGATCTTCCTCTTTTTCGCTTCTCTTCAGGACTAATACTACAACTGTTAATGATAATAATAGTAATATTTGTATAAATATCATCGAAATCATGGTTTGAAGATCGTCGTACTTCATGAATTGAATGAATTATTATATTCATACCATTAAATCCTGGTTAACTAGTTTAGTAATGTTGTGGTACCTAAGAAATTATAAGGTCCTGCATTCAACCCCATGTATGGTACACATTTATATAAAGTATCAAATTGTAACAAATCAACTTTCCAGTATTCTTTAATTTCTAACCGTTAGTTTACTATCTTATGTTAGTCCATAGTAAAAGTCCGTTTTACAACAACATTATCAATAAGTAATATGTGCAAAGATGGATAATGGCTAGTAGTGGAATCCAGTTTGATATGCGTTTCTTACTATTTGGAACTCGTCAGCTGGAAGTATCTGCATCCCAGATTTGATGTTCACTCTGAGACTCGAACTCAGTAGCGCGTCCTGGATTCCACCGCTAATTAATTTTGCATATCTTCTTTTTTTCCTTAAATCTATTGTTTCAGGGTACATCTGGTGCAGCGGATGTATTAGCATTTGGATTAGATGCTGCAAATAAAATGGCATCTGAAGAAGTTGTTGATGATAAAGATCAAGTACCATTGGAGGCTAGGTAATCTACATTAAATATTTCTTTTATTGATAGTTATGTATTGTCTAAACATAATTAACAGAAGGCATCCGATAATTTGTATGAGTAAACAATAGGAATCGGTTGACTAATCAATCTTAGATTCAAAGAGATAGATGAATCGATAAGTACATAGTGGAATGTTAATCTAGAACAGCTCATTGTTTAATTAGTTAGTGAGTATAGGTTATTTAGAGAGCTCTAACTTTACAAAAACCTATGAGAGGTTAACTCAATGTGGATTTTTTTGATTGAGATCATGAACCGATTGATGCTAGACCACAGTTAGAAACCTGGAAGCACTGGACGGCCGTTTCGTCCTAGTGTGGGACTCTTCAGCAGTGCACATCCAAGATCCCACTCGTGGGGTTCGAACCCAGGGCCTTCAGTCTCGCTCGCGAACGCTTAATCTACTGGATTGTATCCAGCGTGTTTATAGCTGAATAGTTTTAATCATGTCTGCCTATTATTATGGAACGTTATCAACATCAACAAAAAGCTATGATACTTAATTAATAGTAAATTTGAATACAGTTACTGTACATCTTCATTCGTTGATCTACACCATTAAAGTGTAGCTCATCAGTCGAAGTAATACAGCGATTCAAGAAAAAGTTTACACAGAGACTCAGCTTCCAGTGTTTAATTTCTACTGGATGATTTTCAATTTGAGTGAATTGTACATTATTAGGATAGGAACTTGTGAAGATTGTTTATGGTTAGATAAACATTATATAATTCGGCAAGTATTGAGCAACTGTATAAAGTTTGTGTAGAACCCCATTCACTGATCATGATCATATGTTGCTAGTTTATTTATTTAAACACATTAACATTGGTACAATGAGGCACCAAACAGATATACGCCACATAAATCATATGATTTGTATGAGGGCTAGTATACTACCCGGGTGCCCAAGCCGGAGCAGGTGGACTTCCTAGGGGGTCACACCCGGAGCCTTTGACCTAAAGGTCTGATCCACAAAGCAGTAGAGTAACGTCAGGAAATACAGTCCCATGGTATCCAGTGACCAACAACAGGTTCGTACGCCACATCTTATCTCAGGATACTGGAGCCCATATGCATCAGTGATTTGGAATCAGGTTTTTCCAACCCCACTAGGTGGACTCTCCGCATCCATCGACCCGGTTAAAGCGCCGTACATTTTCCTTTCATCCTCTCAATTTCGTAAACAACACCCCTCACCACCACGAGAATGCAGTGAGTAGAACTTCCCTAACAGTGGTTGTATGCACGTGGCCATGTGAGAGCATTTCCAGAGAGAAGAGTGACTCCCCACTCTCAGTCATATCAGGGCATTTAGGGGATAGTGGTTAATTTGAAAAGGGGATTTCTTAAGTTCTAGTGAGATGTGTAAAGTGATATTCAGCAATGTATGATATAAAACAGTTTTTCAACAATGGGAATTGAAAGATGCTCGCGTGCGAGACTGATAGGTCCTGGGTTCGAATTTCATAAGGCGGCGTTGTGGATGCGCACTGCTGAGGAGTCCCACAATAGGACGAAATGGTCATTTAGTGCTTCCAGGTTTTTCATGATGATCTAGCTTCAATTGATTCATGATCTCAACTATTAAATTAGATAAATCAATTCATTATAATTCATTTCTCTAAAGAATAAGTTCTAACTTAGAGACCAAAGGTCCTGTTTTCTATTACCAATGCGATTGTAGATATGTTCTTCGGTTAATTCCTATACTAGAAGGAAATAACTGTCCATTACTTTCTTATGTTCAATGATTATCTAATTATAAAACTGACAATTGTTTCTATCTGTTCCATAGAGACTATAATTAAAACTATGTTTTTACTATCAGGTAAGAATGTAACTTGGGTGAGATTTTTACTTTGCTTTATCTACTAGTGAACAGAATTCCTATTGACTTTAATGACCTCTTAAACTGTCATTATTTATTAGGAAAGATAAAGTGGTATATTTACAATTGATTGATCATTGGGTGGTAATCAATGTCATGTATGTTAGATCGTTCTTTGGTGCAGATCAAATCCTATCGACCAAGTTGTAAATGGCCACTAGTCTAGATGACTCGACATTGCGTGCAGTATGTTGAGATAAGACTATGGTTGGAATTAATCAACAGGCAACCCTGGACCCGTGTTTGTTGCTATTAGGCACTTGTCAGCAATTTGTACCTGTAATCTTAATGGAACTGATACTCCTTAACGGATTCAATCCCGTGTCACCCAGTTTCACAGTCAGAGATGTTACCATATGGGCTATTCGGGCTGAGAATGACCTCCTTTAGGACCGAGATGTGTTTTAAAATTGATTGGTCACTGGGTAGTGATCAATGTCATGTATGTTATGTCCTTTCCAGTGTAAATCGAACCCCAGTTTTACAAAATTACAATTTGAATACATACATAAATGAATAGTGGAGATTAAAATCTGGTTTCAGTACATGGATGTGATCATTTCTTTTTACATTTTAAGGGATCGTGGATATTGATTGCTGAAGTGTTCCATACTAAAATGAAACGCTCGTTCAGTACTTCCAGGTTGATTCATGATCTCTATAAAAATTGTCCACTTGCGCGTATTAAATAAGCTTCGACTATAATGGTTAATCAAAATATTTTATTGTAAATAGATACTTACGCTTGTTTCCATTATTGGAAGGGTTAAACAATCACTGAAAACCAAAATGAAGTGAACGGCTGTTTTTTTTTAAATGTTAGAGCTGTTAGTAATACTATCTTACTTACTTACTTACTTACGCCTGTTACTCCTCGTGAAGAAGCATAGGCCGCTCACCAGCATTCTCCATCCAACCCTGTCCTGTGCAATCCTTTCTAGCTCCTTCCAGTTGTAGTTCATCGTTTTCATATTATCTGCTTCTAAATACTATCTTACGACCACATTAAAGATTGATCACAAAACCTTTATAGTAAACGGTTAACATATAACGTTTTATTCACTGAGATCAACAGTGGAAGGTAACTCAGTGGTTTGTATGTTAAGCTAGTAACGATAGCCTAGAAGGTCCTATGTTCGATCACTGACAAGGCTGTGAATGAATGTTATTGAGGTTTCCAGTAAAACAAAACAACTGAACCTAGTGGTCAGAATAGAATTGCCTTCTACAAAGGTTCAATTAAAATCTGTGACCTATAAACTCGAATAAATTGATGAGGAGAAAAATTGATGGTTGAAATGACTTAAAACTGCCCTATTTCACAAATGACCGAATTCAGATATCTAGACTATTCAGAGTCAGCTGAATGATATAATGTTGTTATGATTAACGACAGACACAATTGTTCTGAACTTACTCAAGTATATAGTATTAGATGAGCTTGGTCGACGGATGTCATAAGAAGCCAAAAAATCCGTCCAGGGTCTCTCCAATGAATGTCACACTTTTGATGATGATGATCTTTTTTACATACAGAAAACATTGTCAATGATTAAAAAGATAGTTATCATACAATCGTCTTATAATATACCCAAGTAAGTCCTCTGGAAAGTAGTAACACCCAGGCAAAACTACCCCTATTCAGATACCTACATAATAAGTATATATTTTAAGGTAACTTCCAAGTCGGATAACTTTCCATAATCAATTCTATTCAAAGATGTTTTAAACGATGGATTGTAGGAGCATTGTAAATCTGGAAGTATTGACCAGCTCTCCGTTTCTTGTATGGAGGACAGCTGATGGATGCATTCCAAGTAAAGATCGGATTCAGACAAGGCTGCTTACTCTTTTGATTTCTCTTTCATTTGGTGGTCGATGGGATTATGAAGACCTCCATATCTTAAGGGAAGCATGGAATACAATGAAGGGCTCGGAATCAATTAGAAGATTTGGACTTCGTAAATGAGCTGGCCTTCCTATCCCGTAGACACCAACAAATGCAGACGAAGACAACTAGTGTAGCAACAGCCTCTGCAACAGTAGGCCTCAACATACACAAGGGAAGCAGCAACATCCTCAAATACAACAGAGAAAAAGCCAATGCAATTACACTTGATGGAGAAACTTTGGAAGTTGTGGAATCTTTGACGTACCTGGGAAACATGATTGATGAACAAGGAGAATCTGATGCAGATATATAGCTGAGGATTAGCAAAGAATGGGACGCATTCCTACAATTGAAGAACATATGGAACTCAAAACAATCGTCAGCCAATATCAAAGTCACAATCTTCAATACGAATGTCAAGACAGTTCATTCTACTCTAGGGCGCTGAAAAGTGGAGAACTATCACAAACATCATCGAAAAAGTAAAAGTATTTATGAAAGATTGTCTGCACAAGATACTCAATATCAGTAACCATCAAAAACAGACTACTGTGAGAGAGAACAAATCAGCTTCCATCTGAAGAGGAAATTAGGAAAATACGTTTGATTACTAGTATAGGGTTTGTGGAGATTATTAAGTTTTTGATTGAGATCATGAACCGATTGATGTTAGACCATCACAATTGAAAACCTGGAAGCACTGGACGGCCGTTTCGTCCTATCGTGGGACTCCTCAGCAGTGCGCACCCACGATCCCGCGAGCGGGATTCGAACCCAGGGCCTTCGGTCTCGCGCGCTAACGCTTAACCCACTGGACCACTGAGCCGGCATCCGATGGTGATAGTTTCTAACATCAACCAATCCACGAAATTGCGCGACCAACTTCCGTTTTACTGAGGTAGATACCTGTCTCTACCCGAAAAGGATTAACTCCACTAGTCACGGCTTCTCACTAGAACTCCGGTAATTCCCTCACGAAGCTAGTCACTAGTGAGCACATGTTAATTACCAGTATAGGGGTTGTGAAGATTATTAAGTTTTTGATTGAGATCATGAACCGATTGATGTTAGACCGGCTCAGTGGTCCAGTTGTTTAAACGTTCGCGCGCGAGACCGAAGGCCCTGGGTTCGAATCCCGCTCGCGGGATCGTGGGTGCGCACTGCTGAGGAGTCCCACAATAGGACGAAACGGCCGTCCAGTGCTTCCGGGTTTTCAATTGTGATGGTCTAACATCAATTGGTTCACGATCTCAATCAAAATACGTTTGAATTGGATAGGACATACATCACAAAAATCGCCAAACTGCATCACAAGGCAATCAATAACATGGAATCGTGGAGGGAAACGGAAAAGTGGAAGGTCAAACAATACACTGCATCGAGAATAGGAGGCATATATGAAAAGAATGAATAACAAGTGGAAGTAAGTGGAAAGGATTTCCTACGACAGAGTTGGATGCAAATAGCTGGTGGGCCACCTATGCTCCACCACGAAGGTTGACAAGCGTAAGTAAGTCAGTAATTATATCCATAAATTCCAACCTTCAGATCTTACTATCGTCAATGTTTCTCTAGACAATTACGGTTGATAACAATGAATAATTTAACATTTTATATAAACTTTTAACTTTGAAGGCTTGAATCAATCATTGAAGAATTTCTTGGTGATTTACATCCAGATTATACGAATTATACAGATGAAGTGAATATGTTATGCGAAATAATCAATGATTATACAAACTTAGTATCAGTATTTGATATGGAAGAAGATTCTGATTTGGATGGATATGTGATCTCTTCATTGCTTGCCAGTGGTAAATAGAATTCTTTTCTTATTTAATTACATTTATTCATGTATTTCATTAACCTAGTGAAAGAGATAACGATTGTGAAAGTAGACTTGAAGGATTAGTGAAATATCATTGAGCTCTAATTGGGTCACTGATTGTCGAATAGATCATCAATCCCTGTCGAAGTCAAGGACATTTAACGAGCATCAGATAATCGTATACCATGGATTGGCCAATGCTATGGTAGTCTCACTATCTTCATTGTACTCGTTCTTACTAAAATATTTTCGTAATCACGTCCTTTGTGTTGTACGATTTTCAAAGTATTCATAGTACCTTGATACGACGAATGGGTAATCCACGTTAGATGCTAACTGCTAGATGTGATTTCGACGTTAGCTGTTGGTCACACTATTCCCGTCTAACTCGAGTAGGTCCCCAATCATTCGATATAAATCATCTACATTGGTGATCTACAGATTTCTATTTGATGATAACATCATCATATTTCACAATAAAGGGTGCTAAAATTGATTCAAGCTTTTAAGATCTGATTCGGTTTGGATTAATTAAAAGATCCTGGGTTCGAATCTTGCGAGGCGCGATCATGACCGTACCAGAACGAAACGACCGTCTAGTGCTTCCAGGTTTTCCATGATGGTCTAGCTTCAATTGACTCGTGAATTCAACTATAAAAATTACATATATACTTATTAAGAACATTTATATATGAAAAAATAAAAGGTCTACCAGACTAGAAATGAAGGATAAGAGGAGAAAATATTACCAGGGTAGGTCTAAGGTGAGAACAAACTGTTTTTGAATACACAAAAGGGGTTTAAATTTTCGTATGGTTAAAAGTTCAATAAACTTTAGTATATGCCTGGTATCATTTACTTGTATTTTCTTACTGTTGTTTAAGACTGCAAGTGATCAGTTTCTTGTTGATATATGTGTATCATGTGAGGATCGCCGCGGTATTGTCTTAAGACACAAACATTATAACGATAGATAAATAGATAGTGGTTAGTAGTGGAATCCAGTTCGACAAGCGTTTCGTCCTGTTTAGGACTCATCAGCTGGACGTACCTGCATCTCAAAGTTAATGTTCAATTCAAACGTCATTGCGAATGGTAGTGAGTTCGAATTTCGGTGTGAACATCAACTTCGGGATGCAAGTATATCAAGCTGACGAATCCCAAACGGGACGAAGTGTCACGCGTCAAAATGAATTCCACCGATAGCCACTATCTATCTATGCTTAGAATACTTATGAATTAAGACAAAATATCTAGGCAATGCTTATAGGATGCACATATGTCAATAGGAAACTAACCAACCACAATCCTAAATAACAATGGGAAAATACAAGTAAACAACAACACCAAGGTTAATCGAATGATCTAATCGTATCGTGGCTATAACATAGATCAAATTCTCTATCGTATTGGAATAGACAAAGTGTATTGAAAGAGAACAAAAGTGAGGAGAATCGAGTTATGTTTAGCACAAAATTACAGAGTTACTTGGTAAAATAGAAAAACCATACTACAATACTTAATTTACGAAATGTTCAATAATTGTCCCGAACTTCATTGTTCTTGCATTTCCATACTAATTGCTTTCTATTCCCGCTATTCCTTTCTTGATCTTCCCCTTTTTTCTGTTGCTAGACATTACATTCCTGACTTGCGTCATATACTACTTATATCAATATAAGTAGTACGCACCACAAAATCAAAGATATTACAATAATAAAGTATATTCAATTCATCTAATGACATTTATCCACATGAATACCCATTAATAATGGATCATTTCTATATTATGAATAAGATAATGATAATTCTCATGAAATAAGTTTTTGTCCATAATCTACTATTGATTGTATTCAATACCAATAAATGAATGGGAAATAATATTAAAACTATAAAACAATATGATTTATGATGTAACAAATCAATTTTATTGTAGATTTTTCCCATTGAAATATGGGATTTTTCTTTTTCTTTTTTTTGTAAACGGAGGGGGTGGGGGTGGTTAAAAGAAAAACATTAGCATTAGTATTTTTCTATATTGTTCGGTAGGTTAATAATGGTAGATAATACATTTGTCATATTCATATATAGTACTCGTCAGTTGTTGGGGGATTTTTTTGGTACGTGTGTGTGTGTATATCTGTGTATAACTTAGGTCTATGACGTAATCCAAAATGGATTGTATTATTTATAGAAAATTATGTAATGAACAATTCTTGTTTGTTTGTTTTCATTTATCATTTGAATTTGATTCTTCATATAAAGATTGACTGGGTTAACTATTACATTTCATATACATAGTTTCCTTTGATTATCTTGAAGAAAATAAGATTAAAGATCAGTACGAAATAATATGAATTCATGTGCTCACTAAAGAATAGCTTCGTGAGGGAATTACCGGAGTTCTAGTGAGAAGCCGTGACTAGTGGAGCGAATCCATGTCGGGTAGAGACAGGTATCTATCGCAGTACAATAGAAGATGGTCACGCGATTTCATGGATTGGTTGATGTTAAACACTATCATCATTGAATGTCGGCTCAGTGGTCCAGTGGGTTAAGCGTTCGCGCGCGAGACTGAAGGCCCTGGGTTGGAGTCCCGCGAGCAGGATCGTGGATGCGCACTTCTGGGGGTCCCACGATAGGACGAAACGGCCGTCTAGTGCTTCCAAGTATTCAATGGTACATGATCTCAATCAAAAATAATATAAATTCACTTCAATCCTATTAGCTGAGATCATGAGTTAGTTGAAGCTAGATCGCCATGAAAAACCTGAAAGCAATGGATGGGTGTTTCGTCTTGGTTTAAGACGCCTCAGCAGAACACATCCATGATCCCGCCTCGCAAAATTCGAACCCAGGACCTATCGGTCACATGATCTCAACTATTGAAATTACTATAATATGCACAAAAACACCCTCTGATAATAATCAACATATGCTCACTAGCGACTGGCTAAAATAGGTATTTCCTGAAATTCTAGTGAAAAGCAGTGAACAGTGGAGTTCAACCACGTCTGTTGTGAAATAGTAACTCACTGAAGATAATGGTGGATGTGTCGCTCAATTTGGTGGATTAGTTTAAGTTAGACATTAACACTGGTAGATGCCAGCCGTCTCAGTGATCTAGAGGTTAGGCGTTGGCGCGCGAGGCCGAAGAAGTGAACATATGTATCATGATGTAGCGAACATTCCAACAGAGTTAATAAGGTCATAGAGAACTGTTTATTTCTGATAAACAAATAAGATGTTTCAAACGTTTGATCGCTATATATTGTGTCCCAAGTTGAACGTCAACTCTGGTATACAAGTACATTCATCTGATGAGTGCGAAATAAAGTGAAACGCGCCTCCTGAATTCCATTACTAACCACTATCCATCTTTCCTTATAATTCTTAAAGTAGAATAAACAATTTGTTTAGTATTCATTTATATTTAAACGAATCCTTGATTATATAAGCCATAAGTGAATAATAAACAAACGTTTCATCACAAATTAAAAAATTCCTATTAATCTTGTTACATCTGTTATAACTTGTTACCTGTATGCCCTCTTAATGTATAAAATAATGATACCGCTAATTAGAGAACAGTGAATTATCGATCGGACCAATGACTCCTAAAACCTGTACAAGAAGTCTAGACAACATATCGGTCCTTCTTCCTGCCTAGCTCTGCTTATTAAATCCATAATACTAATCTCAGCATCCGCGCTATGAATCATGTATTACAAACATACTGGGTTTATGTACAAACCAAACAGATCACACAGTACCATAAAATAGATCTAGCCAGAAGTGGCCCTTCTATCGCAAACTCAACAACAAATGAAGAAGACGACCAGTGTAGCAGCAGTCTCATGAGCAGTAGGTCTCAATATACACGAAGGGAAAAGCAAGATTCTCCGATACAACACAGCATGAACCAATCCAATCACAATTGACGGAGAAGATCTGGAAGATGTAAAACCCTGTACATATTTGAGCAGCATCATTGATGAACATGGAGGATCTAATGCAGATGTGAAGGCAAGGATCGGCAGTGCAAGAGCAGCATATTTACAACTAAAGAACATCTGGAACTCGAAACAACTGTCTGTCAACCAACACCAAAGTCAGAATTTTCAATACAAATATCAAGACAGTTTTAATGTATGGGGCAGAAACCTGGAGAACTACGAAAGCCATAAGCGAAGTACTTCGGATCCGTTGGTCAGACACTATCAGCAACAACCTACAGTGGGAGAGAACAAACCAGTGAAGGATGAAATCAGGAAGAAGCGATGGAAGTGGATAGGACACACATTGAGGAAAGCACTCAACTGCGTAACAAGACAAGCTTCCACATGAAATCCTCATGACCAAAGGAGAAGAGGAAGATCAAAGAAGAACATATTACGCCGCGAAATGGAGACAGATATGAGAAAAATGAACAACTATTAGGTTGATCTATGAGGGAAGGCCCAGGACAGAGTCAGTTGGTTGAAGAATGCTGGTCAGTGGCCTATGCTCCATTAGGAGTAACAGGGGTAAGTAAGTAAGAAGTGGCTGTGAATATGGAAGACTGTAATTGATAGACCAGGCATAATTCAAGAATGGTAAATCGTATCATAGTAATCTATAGATCAAAATAAAGCTCACAATAAGAAGAATATAGATATACATAATCTAGGTACTCAATAGTTATAGATCAAGAGTACATGTATCATATTAGTATAGAAATAGATCTCAACAATTACTAGTCACCATTCTCATCAAGATATCACAGAATCATTCCTTTTTTTTCTTTTTCATTTCATTATTCCTTTCTATAGCTGGTACCACGGTTACATCAGATCAAATTAATTTAGAACAATTAGAAATTACATTAACATTAAATCGTGCTGATATTGCACGTGAAAAAATATTTTTAGAAAATAAAAAATGGAAAGTAAGTGAATGCGTTTAATGGAATATACCCTTTTAATGATCGTTATTATATTAATGATGATGTAATCAATCAATAAATCAATAAATCGATCAATCAATCAATCACTATCTAACTTTATAGTTGGTTAATGTACTCAATTTTTGTTTTGTTTCTCCGATCGAACGTCCATGTTTTTGGTTGATGAATACATCTAATGAAGTAGATATTTTGAATCGAATGTTGTTTTGTATATTGGTTATATATATATTAGTGATAAGAATAAGTGAATTCTACCGATTTCATTGAAAATATCTTTAAGAATAATCAATTCTGGATGTGTTATAACTAATGACCGCCAATTAGGGAGCAGTGATTTATCGATTGGAACAATAACGCGTAAAACATGTGCGAGCAGTCTAGAGTACTTATCCGTCATGCTTCCTACTTAGTTTAGCCAGTTAAGTCCAGAACACCAATCTCAGCGTCTGCGATATGAATCGTGTATTTCATACATACTGGGTTTATATACAAACCAAACAGACCACATCGTACCATAAAATAGGAAACAACATTTGTACAGGACTTAGCCAAATGTGAATGTGAGAGGCATTAATTAATAGACAGGGTATAATTCAAGAATGGTAAATCGTATAATAGCAGTTCATAGGTCAAAATAACGCTCATAATAAGCTGGACATGAATATGAATAGTTTAGTTATTAAACAATTATACGATAAAAATATACGTTTAGTATTGGTCCATAAAAAAGATCCCAAAGTTACCATTCCTTATGTTTATCGGGACCTAATAGGATGATTTTAAAAGTGGTCGATCTTCAACTTTGTATATAGTTCGTCTTGATAACCATCAATAGATAATGTCCACAATGGGGTTTTAATCAGAAGGTGATTATGTTTATTATTGCACTACTAACACACAGATATCCAGATTTACAAGTATGCTAAGCATGTATGGAATAGTAGTGCTGAAAAGGAAGCAAGTAAGCGAGTTCGCACTCGAGTTCGATAAGTCCTAGATTCAAATTCTCTTAGTGTAGGATCATCGATACTCACTTTTGACGATTGTCATACTACAACAGAACAACCATCTAACACTTCCAGGTTTCCAATGGTGATCTAGCTTCAATCAATTCATAACTTCAACTATTACATATATAATCAGAATGGTTTTTGTGGAGATTTTACAAATTTCATTAGTTGAAATCATGAGTCAATTCAAGCTAGACCACCATGAAAAACCTGGAAGCACTGGACAGCCGTTTCTTCCTAGTATGGGACTCCTCGTGGATTGATTGAAGTTAGACATTAACACCGTTGGATGTCGGTCAGCTCAGTGGTCTAGTTGGTTGATCGCCTGCCGCGAGACTGATCCAATCACTTTTGATGGCGAAACTCTGGAAGATTTAGAGTCCTTCACATACCTGAAAAGTATCATCGATGAACAAGGAGAATCTGATGCAAATATAAAGGCGAGGATTGGCAAAGAAAAGACTACATTCCTACAATTGAAGAACATATAGAACTCAAAACAACTTTCAATCAATATCAATATCACAATCTTCAATACCAACGTCATGGCAGTTCTATTGTACGGAGGTGAAACTTAGAGAACTACCACAACCATCATCAAGAAGGTGCAAGTGTTTATAAATAGTTGTCTACGCAAGATATTCAACATCCATTGGCCGGATACCATCAACAACAGCCTTTTGTGGGTGAGAACAAACCAGCTTCCAGATGAAGAAGAAATTATAGAAAGGCGATGGAAATGGATAGGACATACTTTACGGAAATCATCAAACTGCATCAAGTGTCAAGCCCTAACTTGGAATCCTGAAGGGAAGCGTAAAAGAGGAAGCCTAAAGAACATATTATGTCGGGAAATAGAAGCAGATATGAAAAGGGTCAATAGGAACTGAAAGAAACTGGAAAGGATTACCCAGGACAGGGTTGGATGGAGAACGCTGATGAGCGTCCTATGCTCCTTCACCGGGAGTAACAGGCGTAAGTAAGTAAGTAAGTAAGCGAGACTGATAAGTCCTGGGTTCTTATCTCGCGGGGGGCGGGATCGTGTATGTGCACTGCTGAGGAATCCTATACTAGAACGAAATGGTCGTCCAGTGCCTCCAGGCTTTTCATACTAGTCTAGCTTCAATTGACTCATGATTTCAATCAGTGATATCGCATACACATTTACTTTTGATTACTTTTCTTTTTTTTCTCTTTTTCTTTTCTTTTCTTTCTAGAAAGGTCAATTAAATGATTATATGTATCAAGCATTAATGAGTGATCGACATGATTTTGTTAAATTATTCTTAGAACAAGGTTTTAGTTTAGAAGATTTTTTAACCATCTATATGTTAGAAAAATTATATACTGATCAATTAAAAAATTTGGTAATTTCTTATTTTATTAATTAATTTAAAAAAAAAAATTTAGAATTCCAAAGTAGCAATATTCAATAAAATGTGGGAATATAATCGATCACATCGAGTAAGTTCATCATATATTTTTTTATTTATTTTATAGTTGCCATGGTAACAGGATAATTTATGAATGATTTTTTTTTTGGTGGATATTTACAAAAAGGTTAAATGAGGGGTTAAAGATTAAGATTTGGATTTTATAATTGATTATTAAGGCTCAAAATTGTTTTGCAATGATGTGTGCACAGGTGCATCCACTCTTTGTGTTGTTCTACATTCTAATCTTTTGAATGCTTTATGTCTTCTATTTTTTTTCTCGTTTGAAATTTATTTCATTCCATTATACACTTTGAATAACATCTTCAAACCCTAATCTTCCCGACTACTGTTTATACTCTTACTACCTCTACCATTATGGGATTTGAATCGATAATTGTATCTTTGTGGTAATGTGATATGGCAACTAGAACTGATGTACGTAAATACGTACGTACGTATGAATTTCTACGTTGTTACTGACTGACTGATTAAGGTGAGGAATTAGATTTACAGTTCTCAATCTGAATTGATGTAAGCTGAAATGTTAAAAGAAAAAAAAATGGTATTTAGCTAAATAAGTGAATAAATTTCGTGCTAAAATCTAAGATTGTAAGCACAGATAGATAATGGCTAAAAGTAGAAAACAGTTTGAAGAGCGTTTCGTCCTATTTTGGGCTTGTCAGTTATCCACTATCCATCTTTGCTTAGAATGTTTGTGAATTAGGACAATATCGAGGAAATCCTCACAGGATTCTTAGATGCCAATAAGAAACTGAATAATTGTAATTCTAAATAACAGTGGGAAGATTCAAGTCAACACTACCAAGTCAATGTAAATTTCACCCCATTGCACAAGCAAGTGGCTATCACGATTCAGTAGCTAAGTGGATAACGCGATGACGTTTGAAGTAAACGGTGTTGGGTTCGTGTCCCTAAATGTACACCAACTCTAGTATGAGCATTAAACATTCATCTGAAGAGTTCCAAATAGGACGAAACGCACACCAAACTAGATTTGATTGTTAGCCACTATCGATCTTTGCTTACATTATTTAAGGTAACAACGAATAAAATGGTTTGTTAAAATAGATCAATGATATCTATAAAGAGATTGTTTCGTTGACAAAAAAACTCTATTGAACATGATGGAATTTTAATTAATTTTCTTTAAGTGACATATAACTTGTTTAGAATCTAGGACCTAAGGACCCATATTATTTGGTCTAAAATAACAAATCAATCACAACTGATTGATCACTAGGTGGTGAGTGATCAATGTCATGTGTGTCAATTCCTTCTTAGTGCAGATCGAATGCTGTCGAACAAGTTGCAATGTGGACCACTACTCTAGGTGACTCGACATTGCGAGTATTATGTTGAGATAAAATGGTGGTTGGAGTTAGTCGACAAGAAACCGTGGACCCGGGTTTCATGCTATTTGGCACTCGTCAGTAAGGTGTACTTGTAATCTTAAGGGAACTAGTGCTCTTATTGGCACAAGTGTATACTATGCGGAAAGATTAAGGTTTGAAGATGTTGTTCAAAGAGTATAATCAAGTGAAGCAAATTTGGAAAGAGGAAAAGAAAGGGACATGAAGCATTCAGAAGATTAGAATGTGGGAGAACACAAGTAAAGGATACACCTGCACACACTATTGCAAACGATTTTGATCCAATGCCATTGAAGGTCTCTAACCATCGGTTGCTATCATCTCGCGGTCCCTAACCAGGTAGTCTACACCTACCAACATGACTCAGTCCACTTGTCAGTGACTTCATGGATTTGTGCTTTGTTTTGGTTTGGCCGCCCCTAGCTTTCTTTCAGCCTACTCCTACACCATAAAACATCGCACGTCGGGGCATTCGGTGGTTGGGTATAACATAACACATGTCCCAGCCATCTCACCTGATGAATATTCATTATTTCATCAATTGAATTGCCATCCTTACTTAGTACCCGTTTCCTAACAACTACATTACTTATATGTATATATATAATTCTAGTTCAATGGAGCTCTTCATTTTGACGTCAATTAAATCACACAATGTTGTCGACGGGTTCATCAAAGATCTGACTCCATTTGGATCATGTGATGATTGTTAGTGAGATATACATTTCGTCAATCCTCGTATGTAATTATCAACTTAAATCGCTTTAATGAATAAAGGAATTAAATAAGTCAAATACAAGAATGGATTTCAAATACGTATATTTTGTACAATCGTTGATCGGAACAGACAATCAGAGAATCTCAGTGAAGAAGGCGTGTGAGCCAATTCCATTTGATCAAGCGTTAATCAATATTTATAGTCATACATACATGTGATGAATGTGATAAGAAGTGTATATACGCATATGCTCAATTAAAAACAATCAGGGTTGATAAGTGAATAATTAACAAGGTGAAAATGTAGCTTAAGAAGAATGGATAAACTGGCTTTTATAGAAGCTAGAATAACCTCTGTCGGCTTAGCAGATCAACGGACACTACAATAGTACGGAACTCTCCAGCAGTTAGTATCCAAAACATCAAAAGTAATCTAACTCAGAGCTTTATGTTTTCCCCGTGAGTCTTTAACTCCTGGAATACTAAGTCGGTATCCAATAGTTTACAGGTCTAATTTCAATTAATCCTTCATGTTATGTAACTAGCTTCCTTTGTTTTCAGTGAGTAAGTGTTTGATACTTGGTATGAGACTTCATAGTTTATGACTTCTCAATAGAACAACTGGAATTACCTCTCAAAATTAACCGCTAGTGAAGTAAAATCTTGAAGTATTTCGTTCGATTTCTGGTAGGGTCTTGGATAGATATTACTGAAAAGCCCTTTACTATTCAGTAATTCCGGGTTTTAGATCATTGTTTACTTGAGGTTCATTCGTGATCAGTTTACTTCTCTTAAAGATTTAATAGATAGATAATAGATTGATGTTCCCGGAGTGAACATTAACTCTAGGATATAGATACATCCGGCTGACAATTCCTAAATAGGACGAAATGAGCTTCTGGGTTATCACTGCTAGCCACAATCCATCTTTGCCTATAATTGTTAAATTATTCATGAACCGATTGGTGTTAGACCACCATTGAAAACCAGGAAGCACTAGACGGCCATTTCGTCCTATTGTGGGACTCCTTCGTGACAGTGGGCATTGACGTTCCCACTCGCGAGGTTCCAACCCAGGGCCTTAAGTCTAGCGCGTGAACGCTCAAACAACTAGACCACTGAACCGGCCGCTATCCAACAGTGTTAATGTGTTACCTCAACCAAACCACGAGATTGCGCGACCATCTTCCATTGTAATGAGGTAGATACCTGTATCTACCCGACACGGATTATCTCTACTGCTTACAGCTTCCAGGTTTTCAATGGTGGTCTAACATCAATCGATTAATGATCTCAATCAATAACTTAATCATCTTCACAACCCTATACTGATAATTACCTTATGGATAAAAGTAAGGAAATTAAGATTGACATTTTATCACACTGCTAGTTCTACTGAAATAGACTATTCAAACTTGAATCTCAATCTTCGATAGATTCAGAAATGTACACTGTTGAAGTGTATCTAGTAACTTTTAATTCTTATTGACGGTTTCATTGGAATCAATCCTTGATTCATTAGAAATCAATCAGAAGAATCATCATATCCCTACTCAATTATACATTTTTGTATTTGATTGTCATGTGAACTGTTACGGTAAGGTAACTTTTCTTTGTTTTGCTTTATTTTATACTACAAACCTTTCGATTATAAATTTATTCGATAATGAATATATTTTAGAAACTAGGCAGAACTGTATCCAAAGAACACAAGGTAACAGTAGAGTAATACACGTAGTAATAGTAGTAATAGTAATGGTAGTAGTAGTAGTAGTAAAAGTAGTAATAGTAGTAGTATAAGTAGTATTGATTGATAGTAGTATATTTACAAATTATCAATTATTGATTTTTCTTTTTGTAATATCTGTTTGTGTAAATATTTATCATTGTAATATTAAAGTCAATGCATGTGCTATGAATGAATGTTTAGAATGTAGACTGTTGAATTCTTTATTAAATTGTAGATCTAATTAAGATTTGTTAAGACTATTGTAGAGATATATTCAGTATTGATTAGATAGTGTTGTTATCCGACCAGTAATATATATAGGGATGTATATGATGAGAGCACAGTTCATGGACGACCTTGGAGGAACGTTAACATGACCTTGGAATGTTGACCTATTTACTTATGTTGAATGAAAGTTAGAGATTAATGGGAGAAATTAAGATGGTTAGGAATTAGATTTAGGATTTTCATTATGAATTGACATTAGCTATAATGTCGTAATAGTATTTAGTCAAATCAATGAATGAATGAATTTCGCGCTAAAATTCAAGATTTGCTATCTTCAATCTGATTAGTTTATCTATAAATTATAGTCTTACTATCTATACAGATATTCATCGTATTGATGATGCTTCATCTGATCTTGTATCATTTAGCCAAAAATATATTTCATAATCTTGAATTCAACCAATAAATTACTACAATCTCCACACACCCCCTTCTGATATCAATCAATGTATGTTCACTAGTGATCGGCTCCAAGAGGTATTTTTTTGAGTTCTAGTGAGTAGACGTGATCAGTAGAGTTCAACTGTGTTGTGAGATAGTGACTCACTGAAGACAATGATGGACATGTCGTTCAATTTCGTGGTTTGATTCAAGTTAGACAATAACACCGTTGTGTGCCCGCTTAGTGGTCTATAGGTTAAGCGTTCGAGCATCGTTTCGAATCTCACGTGGCGGAATCATGGATGCGCATAGCTGAGGATTCCTATACTAGAATGAAAATGCTATCCAGTACTTTCAGGTTTTCCACGGTGGTTTAGCTATAATCGACTTATGAATTTAACTATTAAATCATGAATGTGAAAAACGATTCCTACTTAATTGTATATTATGTTTGTCATTAAATTATTTAATGTTTAACTGGACAGGGAAATGAAAATTACTATGGTTTTTATAGTAAATGGTTAGTATCAGTGTGTTTTTAACAGATTTTATTGTGACGTGTGGTGTTCAAATTCCGATATTGGATACATGGTGTACTGCACTCTAACCCACTCCGCCCAACTCACAACACTTGAGTGAGAACACTAATGTGAGTGAGAAAGCATATTATGCTATCGAATATATTGGACAAATATTCGTCTAACCACAAGAAATTCATCAATCCTTTGGTTAATGAAATACATTTGTCTTTCAGTTCATTTCTAATTGTTATCGATTAATCTTCTTCTTATTAGGGTACTTCTTATTAGTGATTCAATAAAACTTAGTTATATTAAGAAAGAATGAAATTAGTATTTTGTTAACTGACCAGGTCTCTGAATAGAAAAAAATTAAAACAATCTAGAAATATTCACTTGTTATTGTTTGGCTTGTATCTTCCCATTGAGATTTAAGACTGCAATTGATCAGTCTGTTATTGGCATATGTGGATACTGTGTGAATTTAAATTCACCACATTACACAAGCAAGTGGCTATCAGGACTCAGCAGCTGAGTGGATAACGCGATGGCGTTTCAAGCGAATGGTGCTATGTTCGAGTCCCAGAGTAAACATCAACTCCCTGAGATGCAGGTACATCCAGCTGACGAGTCTCAAACAGGACGAAGTGACGCGCATCCTGGATTCCACTGCTAGCCACTATTCATCATTGCTTACAAGAAAGTCTAGAAATATATTTAACTTTTGAATAATTCTGATTAAAAGAGGGTTTTGTGGAGAGTTTAGTAATTTAATAGTTAAATTCATTGGTCGATTAAAGCTAGACAACCATGGAGAACCTGGAAGCATTGGACGACTGTTTTGTTTTAGTATGGGACTCTTTAGCAGTACTTATCCACGATCCCGCACACGGAATTCGAACTCAGGACGTTCAATTTCGCACGCGAACGGTGACGCAACTAATTACATCTTTTTTTAATGATGAGTTCATTCTTTATATTGTTGAATGAATATACACAATTAAAGAATCTTAAACTATGCAATAGTTTAGACGACCAGTAATAATTTGGAAGTATTGGATGGCCATTTCGTCTTAGTTCACAACTCGTCAACATTGCGATTTCACGATCTCACATCGAACGGACTCAAACCTAAAACATTCGATCTCGTAAGCAAATTCTTAACCTGTAGACCACTGAGTTTGCATCTAACAACGTTGTTGTCTAATTTCAACTAATCTATAATAATGTACGTCCATCCTCCATTAATTTCATTGTATAATTGCCTCACATCCATCATCGTTGAACTCTTCTGGTTACAGTTTCCTACTAGAATTTCTAAAATCATTTCTCAAAACTAGTCACTAAACACTAATAAAACTAGAGGTTTAATCATTCGCGAGAGCAATCGAAAGTTCTAAGTTCGAATCCCTTCGTTGTGGGTTCATGGATTCATACTATTGACGGATCTCATACTAGGACAAAATGATTGTCCAGTATTTTTAGGTCCTAAATGGTAGCTAACATTAATCGGTTCATGATCTTAATTTATAGATTTACAAACTTAATCACACTTGTATGTTTCAAATATTCTTTTCAATATATGTTGTTGTTGTTGTTGTAGCTGCATGTTAATGTTGTTCAATGATGATGATGATGATATAACTTTGCTTCAATGTTGTCATTTAGCATGAAGACAATAAATTGAATGATGCATTCATTTAGTTAGTAGTATCTTTTCAGTAGAATATTTCAGTTGTTTGTTAGTTACTTAGTTAACTAGTTATTTTCTTTATTGATTTTTTTCTTTGTTTGTTTTTCTTTTTGTTTTACTTCTTTCTTCTTTATATTGTTCTATTTTTTATTTATCATTAGACATCGAAAGTGGCATTACGTGATGTTGGCAAAGTGATTAAAGCATTAGTTGGTGATTTTTATCATCCACTTTATTTAAGTAAAGAATTTCAAGCGAAATTAATGCCGGAAAAAAGGCTAGAAGGCGCTGGTAAGATTCATGTTATATATTTATATATATATATACATAAAATATTACATTTTTATAATATGGAATCCCCCCCCTCCTCAAAATGTGTATTCCCCACATTGGGTAACCAATCAAGATCGGTGAGCTTATAATTTATGAACGATCACTGAGTGGCACTAAAGTGACCTTGAGAGTGTTCACCCTAATAACCAGGATCAACTAAGAGTTATGAACCTGTATAGTGAATAAGGATTATGATTTATAATTGATGATTAAGGTTAACAATTAGATTTCAGGTTTTCATGACGAACTAATATCAGCTATCATCAAATGAATAATTTTGATGAAGTTTTGTTTTCTGAAATGTATGCTAATGATGTTGTTTATAAGAACAATGAAAGTTTCACAATCAAATCATCTAGCTCAGCGAACAAAAGAATGAATGAATTCAGTGTCAAAATCTGAGATTTGTTATTCTCAATGTAATTGGTTCGTTCATAAATTATAGTCTCCGACGGATATAATTGATTATTTCTATGTGAAGTATACTAGAGATGAATTAACCATTAAGAAGTTATAGATTCTGTTAGTTACTGACTGATATAATAATTCAAGTATAAGATTCATGTTTGAATACTTTATTCTATTACGTGTGACCAATTATTTCTTATACTATTCATAAAAACATTAACCATATGAATGGAAACTTGGTTAATCAAGTCATTTGTTAGGTGTACCTTTAGTTACTTAGTTACGCCTATTAACCTCAATGGAGTATAGTTCGCCGATCAGTACTCTCCAACCCACTCTATACTAGCCTTTCCTTTCTAGTTCTATCCAATGAATATGCATTCTTCTCATATCTGTCTCCGTTTCTCTACGTAATGTATTCTTTGCTATTCCTCATATTACTATTACATAAGAGGTAAATTATTTAATGTTTATTTACGTAATCTTCATTGTGATGCATTTTGTAATTAGAATATTGATGAATTTATAATCCTCTCTTTATTTGACAATAACATTACTGACATAATATTACTTGAATTCGATTTTAGTAGTATCTGATTGGGATCATTAACCGATTGATGTTAGATCACCATTGAAAACCAGGAAGCACTAGACGGCCATTTCGTCCTATTGTGGGACTCCTTCGTGACAGTGGGCATTGACGTTCCCACTCGCGAGGTTCCAACCCAGGGCCTTCAGTCTAGCGCGCGAACACTTAACTTCTAGACCACCAAGCCGGTCGGTATCCAACAGTGTTAATGTGTTACCTCAACCAAACCACGAGATTGCGCGACCATCTTCCATTGTAATGAGGTAGATACCTATGTCTACCCGACACGGATTATCTCCACTGGTTACGGCTTCTCATTAGAACTCCGAGAATTCAATGGTGATCTAACATCAGTCAGTTCATGATCTCAATGAATAACTTAATCATCTTCACAACCCCTATACTAATACACTTGGTATTGTTTGGCTTGTATCTTCCCATTGAGGTTTGAGACTGCAATTGATCAGTCTGTTATTGGCATATGTGCATACTGTGTGTATGCCTCGATGCTGCCTTAATTCACAAGCTTTTTTTTGTAAGCAATAATGGATAGTGGTTAGCAGTGGAACCGAGGACGCGCGTCACTTCGTCCTATTCGGGACTCGTCAGCTGGATGTACCGGCATCTACCAAGTTGATGTTCACTCTGGGACTCGAACCCAGTATCAATCGCTTCAAACGCCGTCACATTATTCACTCAGCTACTGAGTCCTGATAGCCACATGCTTGTGCAATGGCATTTGGAGCGAATGGTACTGGGTTCGAGTCCCAGAGTGAACATCAACTCAGATTCAGGTACGCTCAGCTGACGAGTCCCAAATAGGATGAAGTGATGCGCGTCCTGAATTCTACTGCTAACCACTATCCATCGTTCCCTCTACTGATAGTTAGTAGTCTCGTTAAATTACTGGATAGAATAATCGAATTTGTTTGATTTGTATCCTAGTAACACAATGAAATTATTGATTGATTTATTGATCTACTGTTTGTTAATAAATGATTCTTTCTTTTTTCTTTCTTTCTCTCTATTTTTCTCTCTTTTTGTGTCTTTTTTGTTTGTTTGTCTGGGTTTTTTTTTGTGGTTAAACATAAACAAAACAATACATACTTATGATGTCTTTGAATTGCTTGCATGTATGCATGCATTCTATGAAACTAATCGGTTATACTATTGTTTCATGTGATTTGTACTTGTTTATAAATGTAATCATTGTTATGACATCATTGCTTTGGACTAATTAAACAATAACAAACTAACACTGTAATCATGATAATGATTGTGATGTAATCATTGGTAACTAATGTGATAACTGAACTCTTATGTAATCATATGCTTGTTTATCTTATCTCTTTAATAATATATATGTGTACATTATGTGTATGTATATATGAATTAGACATTTGTCAACGTTTATTAGGTTCTCATAAATTAAGAAATAGTCAAGATATTAGTCATTTATCATCATCATCTTCTTCATCATCTATTAACAATAATAATCATAATCATAATGGTGCTATATGTCCACGTACACTTGGTTTAAGAGATAGTGTACGATTTATTGATTATGGAGAAGATTATGATTATATGAATTTACATAATGTACATACATCATCATTACCATCAGCACCACCACCAACAACAACAACCACAACAACAATAGAAGATATAGGATTTCGTAATCCAGCATTTTTAGAATGTGATAAATATGGTAAGATTGTAGTGTTGTTGTTGTTGTTGTTCTTCTTCTTCTTCTTCGAGTAGCTATTGATTTATTTAAACACTTAAACACCAAATAGGGCTGGGATACTAGTCGGGTGCCTAAACTGAAGTACGATAGTTTTCTTAAGGGGGTCACACTTGGAACCTTTAACCTAAAGGTTTTAATCGATAAGACAATGAATTAATGCAGCCAATGTGAACAACAATTGGCTTATATACCATTTGTTCTTTCAGGATACCGGAGCAAATGTGCATCATTGATTTGGTATCAGGATTTTTTAACTCTCCTAGATGGATCCTCTGTATTCAGCAACCTGATAAAAGCGTCGGATATTCGAGTAGCTATTTCTTTATATAGAATACATATATAAATAAATCCTCCTGTAATTTATAGGAGAATATCATTTTATCTAAATATTATGCTAGACGACAATTATTAGAATATGATAGTAAGAAGTTAGGTTAAAGCTGACCTATAAAAGCGGATCTAATAATGTACGTACTAAACACTTAACAAGACGATATGTCATCTAAGGCCGGTGAAATAAGAGATCTCCTAGAGGAATTATTGTTCGATGATAGTTGTATGAATATCTTGACTTAGAAAAACGTCTTGGAATAGACATCATGATGAATGATTCTGTATGTGACCTTGACAAAATTCCATTACTTACAATGTTTAAATTGAATCATGATTTTCATTATCAACTGACAACACCTATAATGTAAGAATGACTTTTAACCGTATGAACAAAAGTTGATGTCAGTTTATGATGTAAACATTCTTCCTTAATTGGAGTTCTTATCCTAAATCATAATCCTAGAATAACTATTCACATTATCTTGTTTTCTGATTGATTGATTGACTGAATAAAACAGGAATGTTCTACGATGATTTAACTAGACTCTGAAGCTCACGCTTGAAGTCTATCTTTACCAAGTTTACAGTTTACCTGAAATTCTATTGAAATGATCCAGTTTTATAAGTATATCTAATGTCATGTCTCGTTTTTTGATGACTTACATATTTACTTACGCCTGTTACTCTTAATGGAGAATAGGCCGCCGACACGCATTCTCCAAATCACTCACTCTATCCTGAACCTTCCTTTCTACTTCTATCTAATGGATGTTTATTCTTCTCATGTCTGTCTCCATTTCTCTGCTTAATGTGTTCTTTAGTCTTACTATTTTCCTTTGACCTTGAGGATCAATTCCATATATCTAAATTAATGCTTGCTCTGGTTGTCAGAAGGGACATCAGCTTCGTGACTTCTAAAGGAACTCCGTTTTCACAATGAGGCGTCATAACTCTTCTAAATGAAGACCTTCTAACTCCCAGGGTAGTTCTATTCAATACTGTGAACATTTTAACTGTGCTTGATTATGTTAAATAAACCTCAGTATTTAATAAAGAGGGATAATCACAAATAAATGTATTCAAGCGCTCTATTTCAGCCTGTTTGATACTCATCACATTGATATATTTATAATTCATTGTTCACACTTGGAGTTGAATTCGATATACTTCCCTTAGAACTTCAATAAGTTTTCCACTGAACTACTAGTTTCTGAAGGTCTCTAACTTGAATTGTGAACAGATTATTTCTAACATTCTTTCAAATAGTCTCAGATATTAAGATCATAAATGACATAATATAGTAATATGGTCAAAGTCTTGAAGTATGATGGAATCGTTTAGCTGACGTGAATTGTTTGTTAGAAATACCATCCAAACTAGAAGTGCTGGCTCTGTAGTCCAGAGATTAATCGTCCGCGCACGTAATTGAAGGTCCTCTGTCCGAGTTCTAAGTGCGCGATCTCAGATACACACTGCTCAGGAACACTATACTAGGATAAAATAGCCGTCAAACGCTTACACATTTTCAATGATGGTCCAGATGAGATCGACTCATGAATTCAAATGTTAAGTTTTAGTCAACTTGAAAATAGGATTTTCCTTATTACTTCTCAACATTTAGTTTTCAGATCATTCTAAATGTCAGTTATAACGCTTGTTAATAGCAAGTTAATGATCACTATAACATCAAATGGGCTTGATAATTAACTAACATTCTTGATATTAATTTGTTTCAACAAATAAATATGTAAATCTAAACAAAATCATTTCACTGATTGAAATCATGATTCAATTGAAGCTAGACCACCATGGAAAACCTGAAAGCACTAGACGACCGTTTCGTCCTAACATAGGACTCCTCAGCAGTGCGCATCCACGATCTCCACAAAATCCCTTCTGATAATAGTCATTTCACTTAAGTAGTTAATTACATTCATCTCTAACTAATTAGTTATATCAGAAGATAGTTGATTGAATTAGTCGACTGAAGTTAGACCACCATTGAAAACATGGATGCACTGGATGGCCGTTTCGTCCTACTGTGGGGCTCTTCAACAGTGCGTACCCACGATCCCGCCTAGCGAGTTTCGAAATGGTTCAAAATGATTGATGAATCTACTGATGTATGTACCGGAAAACAGATTAATTCCCTAAGAATTTTAGTAGAAAATGACAATACAGTTATTCTCCACTAGTCATTAAGGTATAAAAATCGACAACCTATTTGCATATTATTATTGCCAGACCACCATCATAGTTGTAGTGAAGGAGTACATATATTTATTTGTAATTAATAAATGACCGTGCAATACTTCCGGCTTTCAATGGTGGTCTAGCTTTGATTTACCTTTGAATTAACAAATCCTCATTCTGATAAACCAAAATCATAATTAAGTAAATATGTTACATATTTAGTTTACATGAAGGTCTTTAACTAAAATATTCATTATACTGCAAAGAGCAGTATAAGGTTGTTGAGATTACTAATTTTAGAGTTGATATCGTGAACCAATTGATGTTAGACCATCATTAAAACACATGGAAGCACTGGAAGGCCGTTTCGCCCCATTGTGGGACTCCTCCATGGCAGTGCGCATACACGATCCCGCTCGTGGGATTCCAAACTAGGCCGTTCAGTCTCACGCTTGAACGCTTAACCTTTAAACCACCAAACCAGCCTGTATCCAACAGTGTTAATGTCTAACTTCAACAAATCCACGAGATTGTGCGACCACCTTCCATTGTATTGAGGTAGATACCTGTGTCTACCCAACGTGGATTCGCTCCACTGATCATTAGAACTCCGAGAATTCTCTCACGAAGCTAGTCACTAGTGAGCATATGGCAATTATCAGTATAGGGTTGTGGACGAAACGACGTCCTGTGCTTCAGGTTTTCAATGGTGATCTGACATCAATCGGTTCACTATCTCAATCATAAACGACTAAGATGTTTGTGTATCAGTACATCATTCATATATAAAGGTGTCTAATTTCTTGATCTATAATATCTAAGTCATCAGAATATCTCTCTAGATATAAGTTTCGTTTGATTTATCTATAGATCTACTACTGAAATTCAAATATATGGTATGCTACTTATGTTGACAGATATAAGTAGTATGTAAAACCATCAAAAGTGGAATGCTTGTCGAATTCGGACACTCATGTTACATTAATTTAATAGCATTCTTTTTTATTAAACATTTCTATCTATCTATCTATATATGAATGTCCCTATGTAATACTTTGATCTTCAATTCTGTTGAAATCATCAGAACGTAATATTGATAATCCAGGATGATATTTCCTATACACTGACACTAAATAATGAATATGTTACTTCTATTCGAATATGATTTGTGCTGGCAGACCTAAGCTGTTCATAAATAACCATAAATATTATTAAATAGATAGTGCTTGACAACTCACGGTTAACAGATCACGATTTTCTCGTTATCGAATGTCGTAAGCATATTATTCTATGGTGAGTAAGAAATGTCAAATGAGAAGGGTTTCTTGTGGATATTATATTAATTTAAATAGTTGAGATCATCAGTCAATTGAAGCTAAATCACCATAGAAAGCCTGGAAACACTGAACATTCTTTTCATTCTATTGTGGCACTCCTCAGCAGTGCGCATTCACGACCCCGCCCAGAGAGATTCGAACCCAGGACCTATCAGACTGTTGAGCGAGCTGATTGTCTGGAATTTATTAATTGACTTTAATCGATTTATAGTAAAAAATAGTTCTGTAAGGAAAAGTGAATGGTGGCTGCATCCTAAGTTAATATTTACTCCGGGACTCGAACCCAGAACTATTCACTTTGAAACCTCATCATTAACTTAAACTTTTCAGAAAAATGGATGAAATTATAATGAAACTGTGTTCTCATAAAAGGAATCTAATGCCAGATGAAAGTGTATTAATCCATTTAGAAAGTGTTTATAGTAAATTCATTTTCATTATGACAATAGTATAGTTCATTACATCTGAGCCAAATTCTTAGTTTAATGTCAGTGATGAAAATATTTGATTCCATAAGTTATGTTTCAATCGAGGACACGGAGGATCCTATTGTTATTCCATTTATTTGTTTGCATAACATCTCATTAATAGTAGATAAGATTATATTTACTTTACTTACTTACTTACTTCAACACTTACTTACTTACTTACTTACTTACTTACTTACTTACTTAATTACTTAA